ACTATTCGTGGATTATAGAGTAGTGACCTTATCTAAATATTTCAACCATGAATCTGGTTCTATTTTGTTATTTAAAATACTCTTATATAGTTCACTAAGGCCTAGCTCCTTAGAAGATTAGGAAGTTTTCTAGTGGGAATCTATGTCCATTAAATAGTCTAAGTCATCCTCGTTCTAGAAAGAATCCTCGATATCGTAAACGTTTATTAATAAGGGGTTATGATTTAGAATTGAGCCTAAAGGTTCACCCCTATCCACGATATCTATATAAGTTCCCGTTGAATAGACTAATCTGGTGTCTAACGGTATTTTGTTATCCTTTGAAATCCCCAGAACTGACATAATCTAACCTATGTACGTACTCGTATTAATAGGGTGCTTATGCTCACTAAGGAGTTCGTTGAGAATGTTATTATGTAGTGTCTATTCGTTAGATAAAGAACTGTCTGCCTCGTCGTCTGAGAATTGTGTAAGTTTAGGTTTAGGATTGGGTGGCATCTCTTTAAGATGCTGCTCATTCACGAGAGGAGATTGGATTTGGAGGACTTCTAACTCTTTTAGGATCTCGGGAGTAAGCTGTAAGTGCTCTCGAGCCTTATCGACACGTCGGCGAACTGTACGTATATTCGAATTTTGAGTGGAGATAGTATTAATGCAATGTTTATGGCTATTTGTAAGTTGTTTCTAAATAAATCAGCGCTTGGTAATATCGTGTTATAGGAGTTTGCCTACTAATTTCGACTTCCCCCCTACCTTTCGACTAAGACGATTTAGTATTTTAAGGACCTCTTAATCTTTATAATTAATTAGAAGGAGCTGTTGCGGCTGGCGGTGACCTTGTATGATGCGAATTTTAATGAATTTTATTTAAATCTATTAACTAATCTGGAATTGGTGGTTATAAAGTCCCTTGATCCTCTTAGGGTCGTAATCTTTGATTTATCTCTATTATCTAATTAAGAAGTAGTTTGGAGGCTAATAGGACGTGTGGTGCTAATGCGTGCTAAGTAGCTATCTAAAACGAGTAATGATAGATGGTGAGCCGTGTTGACTAAGCGCTATTTGTGTATTATTAGGTGGGGGCGAAACTTATTATATACCCTATTTCCCTTTTTTCTTCCTTTTTAGGAGAAGAGCGACTAGGGATGATAGAGTTTTGTCGGGGAATAGCAGGAAAGCTACAAAGATTGTATAATGCGTTCCATAATACTTATTGAGTCCTTAGAAGTATTCAGCGGGAAGTCATAAGGTAAGAATCCTAAGTAGAGGATTAGGGGTAAATTTAAACCCTGGTCGTGATTATCACGCGAGTATTCTCTATTGAGTAACTATGCACTAATAATATCCCTTCTATCGTCTAATAACTCTAATTATTAGAGTCTAGACTAGGGTAAAATAGCGAAGACAACTAATTTTTGGATAGTCATAGTTCTTCTAGGGCCAAGCGGGCCTGTGCTTCCACCTTAATGGCATCTAACACAGCACCATATAGCTGATTGGCTATCTCCTAGATAACAATAAGCCCCTTAGGAGAATTTTCTTTCTCTATCTAGAGGAAAAGAAGTATTTCATTGGATATATCGGCAACCCTATGACGCAATTCAAGTAGGATAGAATAATATGTCCTAAAAAAGCGATTCAAAGCCCGCTGCCTCCTAATCTCCCGAACTAGTGAAATCTCTTCGCTCATGTTGGATAGGAATGCCCATATATTTTAATGCGGTCGAGTCTGATTTCATATAGGTTTCTATCCGTATCTTACCATCTAGCCTAGTGCGTGGTTTACGATAAATATAAGCTTATATAAGGTTAATACGCCTATAGTGTTAAGGCTCCCGTTCTACTTTAGTGAACATCTTAATCGCTAACCATGATTTTCTTACTATAAAGTACGTTAACTTTTACCTGTTTTAGAGCTCTAAAAATATAAATAATAATTTATTTGGTCCGAGATAAGGACCATTAAAGACCATAACGCAATAACTGATTTCGAAAACTACTGTATAATAGTCTTGAAAGCAGCTAATACCTCCGCACTCTTCTAACTAGACTATTAGAAGATATACCCGGTAACCGTTAAATCTATTTGGACCACTGCTCTCTTTTGCTGGAAAAATGGTAATGTAAGTGGCTTTGCTTCGTTCTATAAGTTAACGTCTTAGCACGGCATTTATATTATAGACGCGATATTAGTAAGCGGTCCGAAAAGCTTAGGTGATATCCGATCAAGCTCTCTGCCTTCGGAATTAGTTTCTAATAAATAAAGTAATAGAAGTATAGAGGTATCACTGATTTCGAGAATTACGTACTTTAGATTAAAATAGTATATCTACCCTAGAGGATTAGGGAGAATGGTGGTTCTTGGCTGGATCCTTGTGGCCTGTTATATAGTATCTGTAGAAAAGTAAGATCGAGCTAGATCGTAGTATTTTTGAGTCCCACAGCGGGCACGCTACTTAGCCTTCTAGTAAGAAAACGCAAAAATAGATAAAAAGAAAATAATAGTACTAAGTATCGTGCCTGCTATTATCCTAAAGGTTCTTAAATTATGCGGGATAGGTAACGCTGAGCTTTAGGTGTAATTTGTAGAGTGGCTTGAAGATATTTGACTAAATGAATTGCTATTTTTAGTGTTTCTAGTGCTAATTGTTGGTACGTATATAATAAGCATTAACTAGGACTGCGACGCTACGAAGGGAGTCTAGTCTGTCTCTCGAGTACTATATTGACTTTTCCTTATTGCGTAGATATTGAATTTAATGTATTTTTCTTAGTGAGTCATACAAGAAATCTAGCGCAAGCCCGCTAGTATATACCTTAATGAACTCTTTATTAATTTAAATATAAAATAGTAGGTTCGATCTCTCATAAATACGAAGTCTAAAAATAATCGCCGCATTATAGACGGAGGAAATTTATTTCTGCTGCGTTAAACTATAATGCCTACCCTTACTATCTTTGTCTCTAGCGTGTTGCGGCGGCATTTCTCTATATCGATAATGTCGAACTTAAAAGTTAGGCCCGCATGAAATATTTACGAGCTTACCTATGAAAGACAAATTAATTTTTTTCTTTGTCCTCCTAGCCTAAGGATAGGTTGAGTCTATAGCGAATGATAGATTCTATAATACGGGGAGAGTTTAAAGGTATAGGATGATATCGTGGGGTACACAATAGCCTAGGCCCTAGCTATTAACGTTAGAAGGATGCTTAGATCTAGAGTCAGAAATAGATATACTTGAATCTGATTAAACTTGTGTTATATAACACTAGTATTGCTGGCCATAATTTAGACAATAACTACTCAAGATAATCTTAATGATATTCTGGGTGATGCAGTGGGGGATCAGTGGTTAGAAACGGGTATACTATGCGAAAACCGCAGCGATTTTCAATAATTGTTTTATCCGCTTTGAGATTAACCACCTTAACATATTAAAGTGTCTGATTAGAAAGGCCACTCGGTGGAATTCGAACCCTATATAATGCCTATTCGCTCTCCGCGTAAAGAGTGATGCTATAGAATTGGCGTGGAGTAACGGCCTTACGCATTAGCTTCGATATAAGGCTGCATTAATAATGAGTGGCTTGGTCCATCTAGTATATTTAATAATTTGGGTATTCGTGTCTGGTGACTTAGAGCACTTACGCAATCAGCTAATTGGTAAAGTATCTTAAGTGGCAAGGCTTTAACCATACTATCGATGGGCTAATAGATCATAGATTAATCCAATATTTTAATTTATCTAAAGAAAATTAATGCTAGCTCTAGTTCAATAACTAATTGGTCCTAAAATTATAGCTGGCTTTCCTTCCTAGTATTATTATTCTTAAGTATATCTTAACTATTACTATATATACTTAACTACGAAGACATAACTAAGGTTGAACGCTATAGTAGTTTATATTAGGATAAACCCGGCTTATATTATAGCACCACTGCCGACCGTACTCATATTCTAAGGAGATTGGTATCTGTCCTGGTGAAGGCCGCTAGTGATCCACTGAATATTCAACGACTGAAAAGAGCGGTTAAATATATATAGTATAGTAGATATATTTTCGTGCTAATCATTAAGGATTACGTGACTCATACTCACACCACCTTAAACTTATGGCTTCGTGGTCTATTCCTTATAGTCGATACTAATGACGAATTATATCATCGTTACCGAGATAGCTAATGGTTTGAGGACAAAAGGAGTGAAATTATATTTGCCTAAGTAAAAAGATCGATATGGTAGTACTGGCTAATAGTGTAATAATCACTAGGATTTCAACATATTATTTTCGTCTTTAGCTAGTTTAATAGCCAATAGGGATTCGTACATTGACCGTTTTATAATATCATATTTATATTCACCCGACCGCCGAATTTGCTCTAAATAACGCTCTGGCTGGACTAGGCTAAGCTCTTTATTATATAAGACCCAGAGCTTTTCTTTACCCTTAGTAAAACGCGCTGCCGCTTTATCCACTTTTTCAATAGCTATTGGGTTTTCTATAAAACGGAGGGGGGCCTTAAGACTCTTATATATATAGAATATGATAGATGTAGGCTTAGATACCGATACACCGAGCTCTCTAATAGATTCGATAGGTTCTTTATTTGGCGCGTTGATTGGTAGATCTTCTGAGTCTGAATCACTATTAACGGGTCCTAGTTTGCTTTGCTTTGATTTAGTAAAGAAAGATTCTATGATAGGTTCCTGTTGGTCGCTGTTCTCCCTCCTTTTCTCTTTTTCGGCGTCTATGGTCTTAGGAACGCTCAATTTTTCTGTTGTGGAGGAAATGACATCATAGCTTCCGAAGAATATAAATATCATCCATCGAAGTATAAAGGCAGTAGTCATAGGTCCTATCAGATAAAGTCCCTGTTTGTGAATAGAGTATAAGTAGACTATATAAGCGTCTTGGCTATAAGTACGGCTCTGGGGCATTCCACATCTCATTCCTAGCCTAGCTAGGTATTCCATAACTTTAATGCTACTATTGTTAAGCTAACTAGCTATCTTAAAGTTTTCCGCTATGTTCCCTATAAGGACGTGTAGTGGAGGGGCGTTATATACGTAGTGAAACGGATCACGAGCTTTAAGTAAAGCATTACGCGCAATTTGTATATCGGGATCATTAGCTAATATCTCATTTATTTTAGGTGACTGAAATCCCAGGTTTCTAGATAGTAGGGCTAACTGGTATATAATCCATTAGTTTGCCAATACTCGGTTTGGCTTCGCTAGTAGGTCACCTTCATCCCTTGGGTTAGGAGGCATGTTGGGATAATTTTAGATGACAAAAAGCCAAATTTGCTAGTATGCGAGCTCAAAGCATTTACTAGGGGACACTATAATCTCTTTTGACTTGAATGTATCGATCTGAACCTAGAAGGTAGCTTGATTAGAATCAGTAATTAGTGGGGGGTGGAATATATATCCCATTGTCCTTGCAATTAAGTAGTCGATATAGGAGAAGAGCCGCTTTAAGCAGTGCGAGTAGCTCTTAATGATCTTAAAATCCTTAAAGAAAGTGTGAAGTGATGGAATAAGGCCCATGAAATCACTTAGTCTTTGGGCTATGCTTATTCTCTCTGTTTTAGTGAAGTAACCAAAAGCTGCACTACTAAGCACACGACCTTATACTAATTAGAACTCATCTGAAAGAGAATGAGGTCTTAAGAGCTGCAAACACTGAATATTACTATTAGTGACTCTACAAAGTGCTTTTGTGTCTAAACCTATAATATGTAGCCACGTCGTATATATCTACTTAAGATAATGGACTATTTCCTATAGCCAGAGTTAGATTAGTGGGCCGCTACACGGGATTAACTCACATTAATACAGTTGGATGCTATAATACGAGCCAGCAAACTTATCTATATACCACGGTCCTATATTCTAGGAATTGCAAGTAATTTATCAAAAGCGGCTCTTAAAGCATAGTTGCGGGGGTTATCTAGCTAATCTAATCGCTCACGACCTATTCTAGAAAGCCTGAGATACCATCGTTGCCGGAAATAAACATTTCCTTCGCCCTCGTATTATCTAACTTTCCGATATATCTAACCATCGGTGGGTGACGACTCGTTCGTATACTCGTCTAATAGTGTAGACTATAGAGCCTCCCCGATATCTATGATGATTAGAGCACGAAATCATCGATTTAAGAATTGAAAAGTACCATCAAGATATAGATCTACTATCCACCAACGATCATTAGGAAAAAGAGCTTTGCTCGCGGCTTGAATTCGATGCCGACCATGTAGCGCCTTTAATTGACCATTAGGAAACTTTAAGTAAGGAGGCTTATTAAAGCTAGCGTTCAGCAGATCTGCCCTAGTAATTTTACTAAATGCTAAGGACCTTTCGATGGCTTTATATGAAGCTACTACTAGTATATGATTCTATATGTTAAGCCGCGTATACTATCCATGTTTGAATATCTCTTGGAGCTGCTTAGATCTTCGTGAATCGATACCATCAGGTAGGGCCGGAATAAAGCAAATCTAGTCTAGGCTGACCTTTACTATGCTAATATACTTGCTATGGCGTTCTTGAGCTATTGTGAACTCTTGATCTAAAAATCCCGGCCTAGACATTTTTTAAATAGAGATTTTCCTCTTATATAGAGGTCTGAGGATAGGATAGTACTTAAGCTGCGTAAAGGATAAGTAAAGTAAGGAATGGGTAATACGCGTATGATTAAAGAAAGTCGAATATATATATGTAGACCTAGGGTTTATTGAAGTTTCATAAAGTTTATATGCGGGACTAAAGAAAGTGCTGAAGAGATTTATTAAAGCCCTTAGCTTAATTCCTAACGGTCCCCATAGTCTAGTTTAGTAATATAGTACTCCTTAAAGGTAAGGATCACTATCGTGCTTTATATATCCTAGAAAACTTCCACTAGTTCGACAAGTTATTGCCTTAGGATATGACTTTGTAGATCACCTTTATCTACTTTAAATATTTCAAGCACACGTATCTTAACTTAGTATGGCTCCTACTCAGAGACTTAAGACTTATTTATATCGATAATTTCAAAGAGCCCAGCTTCTTATCTATGAGGGACCAATAAAAGACAATGTCCTCCTGACTGGCATAGAAAATGGAATAAAGGAATTAAGTGATAATCAGAGATAGAAGCTAAGAGACGTACTTAGTTAGATTCTTGACCTCTATAGTACTAATATCGAAGTGGCTGAAAAAGAATACGCTACTATATGGAGTGACCGTGAAAGCTGGGTAGAATATGCTCGAACCCAGAAATTGAATGGTGTAGACCAGGCTGTCCAAAGTGAGATATGTAATATAATGCTCAAACTTACTATCAATATATGATAGCTAACCTAAGGTAAACAATCGTATAGATATGATATAACGTAGTGAAATTAAAGATAAGGCTGCTGCTAAAGATTTACTAGACGCGCCTAGCGATCTTCCCCCTAGTAGCTCGATTATATCATCTATACCTTAGTCAACTAGCGATCAGAGTTTGAAGTATGATATTAATAGCCATTCAATTAAAGACGAATGGTTTATGCATAATGACCCCCTTATAATCAAAGGAGACTCTAAAGAAACTATAATTCTCTTTAAGAAGATAATTAAATATAAAGGGGGGCAAAAATCACACTATGGAGTGTAGAGGCGAATTGGGGGTAGGTACTGTTTTAAAATGGTTAGGTAATCCAAAATTAGCTTTGCTATTAATGATTGGAATAAGCTAGAGCGCAAAATGATTATAATAGTAGCGGCACGAAGTCCTATTAGTAAAGATACTTATAGTGGGTTGCATAAGTATTAGGGCACTATATATATGGTACCTAGAGAGCGAAATTTAGGACCTTATAAGAGTCCTGGTTTAGAGTGTATTATGTAAATCAACGGTAGAGATAGATTCACTATCATGACTTTTACGAGCTTCGTAGGGCTCGAGGGATCAGAAAGAGCTGAGGAGTATATCGAGGTAACCTCTCTGCGAGATAGGACACCGACTCCCTAGAAGACGCACTCTTAGGTAATAAGAGTTTAAGATCCAGCTTGCCATAGACCACAAAACCCTAGATGGTCGGCAAGGAATCATATAGTACTGCCAATGGAGTCGCTAAGTGGAGATTTAGACCTCGATGATAAGATCTCTAAAATAGTAGAGAAGAAAACCGCATCACTCAGATTGGATATGATCGCGCTTAATTAACGCCTTAATTTGCTTATGAACCTTATGTCCAAGATTGCTAGCAAGCTGGACGTAGACTAATATAGTAAAGTCTGGACTACCTTTCTACGTTATAGTGATATTTTAAGGGTCCGGGGTTCACGTATATATCTATGCGTTCTTACCCTAGTTTGTGTGAACGATTAAAAGACCTATCTTTAAGTTGAATTTTCTTATGTAATAACTACTATATAATACTAAGTGACCCTCCGTTTATATCCCATATTACCCACTTTATCTATTGTTCTTCTTGTTTGTTAGTGATTAACCTGTGAACCATATAAATAATTGTTACTCTATCCGTAGCTGCTTTATGGATCGGCCTAGAAGGACTTTAAATTAACTTAGACTAGTGCCTTCTATCCCACCACGGGGCTTACTCTTTCGTAGATCCTCTTCTCGCTACCTAATATTATACTACGTACTATACTATATTACTTCCACTCTCTCGCATAGGAATGTAACTATGTTCTCCTACTTAGTATAGGCTAAACATATAGCTATCTAATATATGTCGTCGTGTGGACCATGTCGATTGATCTATGGGCTGGCCGAACTTAAGTAAATCTACATATATATGACTATATGATCTAAAATTCTCAAAACTTTCCGGACATGAATCCCACTTTAGATATAGTTATATAAGTGAAAAGTCTACTTATATGATCAAATATAATTTAATTAATACAAGTTCGAATTTACGTTTGTTGCAAATCAGATAAGACCATATAAGTACATCTAAATATTTTAACCGATTTAAGCTTATCTCTGTCATAGGAATGCGCTCAAAAGCAGAAAGAGGACCATATAAATCATAGGATAATATGTCGCAAGAGGCCCAAAAACCATTTGGCATTATATTTACAGCTTTAGAAATCTACACGAACTCAAATTATAGCTACATAGACTCGTCTGCCTCTAAATAAGCCCTAACAAGCTCCAGGAGAAAGTTCTAATGGTCACTATTAATCTATATTTTTACTTCGAATTAGGTTATAATTCCCTGACGGCGTACGACTTAACGTTGGCTGAGTATCTCTAGTGTAGGTTCATCCTATATATTATATGAGAAAATGGCGCTCCTTTTCTATTCTTAAACTTACGTCTTCTTCGTCGGACGATGTCGTAGAAATAGCTTCGGGAGGCTTATACTTATTATCCCCCGTGGCTTCAGACCCTTTATCCGGTATAACAAAAACACGATCTGATTCCGTTTAAGAGTATTCAGACTTACTCTTATCTTCTATATGAATGATATCAATGCCATCTTTATTAGTGAGCTCTAATATACTTAGCAGAACCAAAGGCGTGATCTAGTGGGGTCCCTTATCTATTACGGTGGTAATAACTGTGTAATCAGGTGCGAATCTACCTAGAGAGTAGTTCTTGTCCTATTTATGAATGGCCTTGAAGATTTATATCTACTTTAGTTATACTACCATTTTGAGAATTAGATTTCCGCGCCCCTCAAAAAATGGGTCTAAGTTCAAAGTAGTTTTAGAATGCCAAGCCGCATAGTGGATATGGTGGACTGGCTTGTTAAACGATCAGGCTGCCTTAATAGTAGACTAACGATTACGCGAGAGAATCAAGATTACTAGTTCAACGCAATCTATTATGAAGATAGTCTCATATCGCGCGCACTAATGCCCTGTGAATTCAGTATTCGACGCTAATACACCTTAGTAATGCCCGGGAGTGACTAATTACTTATACTTTATAAGAGTTTCCGTTTTTCCTTAGGACCTCTTTCTAATAGCGTTCTATAACAATTTTTATCTAGCTTAAGCTCTTTAATCTTATAAACATGGACGATATACTACCTTCCGTAACTTAGTAGCTAATATGTCTAACGTCGACTTACGTGGTAGGCTAGAGCGACGAGGACGCTTTTAGGGAGCTTTACCAGAATTAGTACGGGACTCATATATTGGAAAAGCATATACTAATAAGATAAAGGAAGGATGCTATCATGCAAGATCATAATTTACTACCACTCGGCTTTCTAGTGGTAATAACCGAGACCGATAAGGAGATCCTCGTCATCGTGCCTAAGCCAACGCTAACTAAAGACATGAATCAAGCCAACTATATAGGCTACATCTACTTTAAAAAGGCGATAGGGGTAATCGAACTCACGAACTTTAATAGTGTTTTGGATACTAGATGTCTCGAAATTAGTAACTCGGCTAAATCGGGAGACGTGCGCCTTATTAGTCACTATAGAGAAGGGTTAAAGCTAGCTGTACTGGCTCTTACTCGAAGACAATACCACGTTAAACTATGCGCAAATAGCTGCTATTGGAATTTCATATTTTGAGGACGTGAAAGCCGTAACTTCTACTACACCATTACTCTAGTAAGTCGCGAAAAGACACACTATCTAAAGGCCAGATTTGAGAAGAAAGAGGAGGAAAAGCTACTAAGGGAACTTATCGCGAATATTTAGCGGGACGTCTCTATAGTAATCAAGAGAGATAGTATAGTGCGTCGACTAGATGAACATGACTTTTAGAGGTAGATATAGATCATAGTCGATATCACACCTCCGCCCGGCTTAATTCGCACCCTAGTAGGGGATCTAATCCTAGATAAAGAATATAGGGGAAATATTTACGTTAAGGGCGTACGCTATGCTAATTATGGCAGCTATGACGGAGATTTTAGGATCGGATACAATTTAGGCATAGGACTCATTAGTCGCGAGCGATATATTAACTTATATCCGGCCTCGTAACGATGTATTACCGAAATTTGGGCACGAGCAATTAAAAAGGGGGCTGCGAATGTCGTCGGACTCTACTCTTAAATATTAATAGAAGCTCTAGACGCGATGGACGTAAGAGATGTCGAACAGCTGGTCGAAAAAAGCACTACAAGAAGTGTATGGGTCTATTTGCGAGATGATGCCAAGCTTCGCGGGCTTTTTTATTATCCTCGTGATGCTAGCGAGCTAGTAAGTCATCCAGCACTGCGTTAATGCTCTTTACTAATATGGAATAGGAAACGCAAAATATATAAAGTTATCTAGACCGGCAACCTACTTCAATGCCGACCTCTTTATGGAGACTCTTAAGATAGTTCAAGCTAATTAGCACTATGGATGAAGAATTGGCATCTTAACTAAAAGTCTTAGAAAAGATTCGAATTCCTGACACTCTCTTTTCTCGCCAGTTCGATCGCGCGTTAAGAGGCCTTCTCGCAGTAGAAGTGCAGACGCGAACAATCCAAATCTTCTACGTGTAGGGATATAAGGGCGGAATTACCCTGGCCATTGTTGAAAATGCGCTTTATGTGCACCAGCAATGGCTGGATCCGCAGAATTCTTATATAGATAGCCCTTGTCCATTATCCAATATATAGGATTCCGAAAGCCTGTTT